CCATTCGGCAAATCTTTTTTTCCCCCTACGATTCTCACTCACTCTATTGTTTTATTTTATATTTTGTGATTAGGTGGCGTCACGTCTATGGCTCCCTTTCTGCAGACATTTTTTCCATCTGTTTATGAGAAAGAGGCTTTGGACAATTCAACTAATCAGTACTCCAAATTTGACAGTCTTGCCCTCACAATCTTCACTTCTTCTCTTTATCTCTTTATTTGGCTACACTTTTGGCTTCTTTTGTAGCATCTTAGGTCACCAAAACCTTTGGTCGCAAAAAGTCGATGCTTCTTAGTGGCTTTGTGTTCTTAGTTGGTGCTGTCATTAATGCTGCTGCTCAGAATATTGCAATGCTTATTATCGGTCGTATTTGTTTAGGCGTTGGTGTTGGATTTTCAATTCAATCTGTTCCACTTTATGTATCGGAGATGGCTCCTTCTAAATATCGAGGCTCTCTCAATATTGTTTTCCAACTATCAATTACTATTGGTATTTTGGTGGTTAATTTTGTGAACTATGGTACTGCTAAGATTCGTGGTGGATGGGGATGGCGTGTGAGTTTAGGTGGTGCAGCAGTGCCCGCATTGTTCATCACAATCTCAGTTTTGTTTCTTCCTGATACCCCAACTTCAATGTTGGAGAGAGGTGAAATCGAGAAGGCAAGAATCATGCTCCAACGCATCCGTGGTGTGTCTTCAAAGGATGTAGATGCGGAATTTCAAGACATCATGGCAGCAAGTATAGCTGCTAAAGCAGTGACACATCCATGGAGGAATTTGAGAGAGAGGCAAAATAGACCACAATTGGTAATGTCAGTTTTAATCCCATTTTTTCAGCAATTGACAGGGATTAATGTGGTCATGTTCTACGCTCCTGTCTTGTTCAAGACTATTGGATTTGGAGACAATGCTTCTCTTATTTCATCTGTCATTACTGGTGGTATCAATGCTTTAGCAACTTTTGTATCCTTGTATGGTACTGATAAGTGGGGAAGGAGGATTCTTTTCTTGCTCGGTGGAACCATCATGTTCATTTTCCAGGTGATTAAAATTTTACTATTTCAAATTGCTTTTATTTTGTTTTCCAAAACAAAATTGAGCCAAAAAAAAAAATGCTTGACCAATAATATTTCTTCAAAAGTTTTTTTCTCTTCGGATTGATTTGATCCTAATAAACGCGACATTTTGTAGGTTTTGGTGGCTCTGTTTATTGCTTGGAAATTTGGTGTTTCCGGTGAGGTTGCTTATTTACCGAAGTGGTATGCTGGTGTTGTGGTGTTGTTCATTTGCATATATGTCCAAGCCTTTGCATGGTCTTGGGGACCTCTAGGATGGCTAGTTCCAAGTGAAATCTTCCCTCTTGAAATTTGATCAGCTGCTCAAAGCGTAACGGTGTCGGTGAACATGTTTTTTACCTTTTTGATTGCCCAAATCTTCCTTACCATGCTTTGTCATATGAAATTTGGGTTGTTCTTCTTCTTCGCTTTCTTCGTGGCTATTATGACCATATTCATCTATTTATTCTTGCCGGAGACAAAGGGCATACCCATTGAAGAAATGTCATGTGTTTGGAGACAACATTGGTTCTGGAGTAGATATGTGCCTCAACAACTTACTAAAAGTCGCCCTCAAATTTAGGAGACGGAAGTCACAACCCTATTACTAATATTAATTTTTCTTTTTTTGAACTTCAGTACCCCTTTTGATTTTTTTTTTCTTATTTCCAGAAATTAACTCTTGTACTTAGTAGTTTTGGTAGGGATTCTGTTTATTTTGAAGTCGTGGAATAAAATTTCTGGTTTCTCTATTGTCAATGTCATGATACATTTATGGTGTTTTTCTTCCCCAATGTTTTAATTCAAAATATATTTCCAGGAAAAAAAGAACTAAACTAAAACATTAACACAAAGTTTGAATGAATCAAAATCAATTAAAAATGATTACAATCTTACGCAGATTGAATTTCGATTGGTTTAATTGGATCATCAAAGGGAGAAAATATTAAGATAAAGATATATGAGGACAAAAGAAAATATAAGGGATCTCAAAATAAAAAATAAAAAAGTATAAAAAATGTTTAATTGAGTTTTGAATTTAGAAAGAATTCTAGATATTTATTAGATATAAAACTAAAATTTTAATGATCTGTTAAGACATTTTTTAAAGTTTCGACACAAGTTTAAGAACTTATTTAGTATTTTTTTAATTAAAAAAAGGACAAATTTCAAACTTCAATCACTTCACTACATTTATAATTTGACTCATTTTCAATTTATTAGAATATCACAAATCAAACCCGTCACAGAAATTTGAAATCTAAAAAATAAAATATGAAAAGAAAAAAGGAAAAAAAAATATTAGGGTCTTTATTCCTTTTTGTGGAAAAATACCAATGTCTTAACCAGCTGTTATTGCAAATCTATCACTAATTTAAAAGTTAATCATAAACAAACTCGATAAGTAAAATTGCCTTCAGAAGCCAGGCCAAAAACCGTTGATCTTTTTACACCTTAATTTGATTTGGACATTTCTTGCTATTAATTAACAAATTTCAATCTAACGTTGAAAAGGATTAATATATAGAGCAATTCGAATTGGAGATTTGATCACAAGTACAAACCTACCCATAAAATCATAATATCAATGATAGAATCATAGAAGAAAGGTACAATTCTCCACTGTTTTAAGCGGAAAAAGGAAAAAGAGCAGGGATTTTAAACATATTTGGCCTCGCCTTAGAAAATAACTACTCAAACTTTTTGATCAACGAAAGATCGTTCAACATCTTCTCGATCGCTTCATCATCATGTGCCCTTCCTTTAGTCTGAAACCAACAAAAGCATTCATAAGGAATTCCACCTAATTTGATAAAGATTTTGTTTTCAAGAACACTTTTGAAATCGTTCTCGAATCTCAAAAATAAAGATTAAATTGCGAGTTTAGTGCCTATCAAAGTTGTGTCAATACTTCCATGAATTTGAAAGTGTATTGGTCTCTAAACTTCAATCTGTATTATATCTAATAACTATCCGAACTTTAATAAGTGCCGTGTAAGTTCTTGAACCATCATTTTTGTATCCATTTTGTATCCAATAGGTCTTCCTATATCCATAAACATACTACCAGTTACATGGACCAGAAAAATAAATTACCGATCCTCGTAGAACTAATATAGGCATTTGAAAAGGGTGGCAAAAGATACCTTCAAGGATGGTACCATGGCAATAGCTTCCTCCACAGTTTCAGGGCAAAGATTGCCAAGAACACAGAGCTGCAAATTTCAAGAGTGATGATATAGACCTTTCTTTCTGAAGGAAAGAGAACAATAATCTGTAAATTGATTAAACAAAGAGATTCAGTAATTACCTCAAACTCAGCCAACTGATACCTGCTCAGAATTCTGTATGCTAGTTAAGATTCAACCTCTTAAAGATTTCAATAACACCTCTAGTTTATGTGATTCTAAATGGTTAGCAATAAATCCAAACTTCCAGTTCATAAATGAAAGTGATAAAAGTAAATATATTTCCCTCCACGAACTAAATATCAAAGTAGTGGAGATTTTTCAGATGGATACTAGTAAAAATAAAATTTTGTGGCTGCCGAGAATATAATGAATTTCAGCTAATGTTATGGACTATTTCCCTAGTAATAATTAACCAAATAGTTCCTGGCTAGCAAGGAAATGAAGGTTGTAAAATACAAGTCCAAATTGGAGTCAGTTATAGTATCTAGTGGATCTGCACGAACCCATCCTAGCCACTGCCCGTAAAATAAATAATATTTATGTATACAGTTTAAAGGATACTCTCGTACTTGTCTAACAGCATCAGGATTTTTATAGCGGCTGAAGCGTTTCACATACTGCAATGACTTTTCAAACACTCTGCAGAAAGAAGACCCGAATTAGAAAATGCCCACCTTTCATCATAACTTTATCTCTAGATTTTAATTATCTCGACAAGCAAGATCAACTCTAAATTAACTTATGAACCAATAAATAATAAACACAAAACTCACTGAGAAACTTGATTCATTGGATCCTCAGACATCTGCTGAAGCTGCTCATATTTGTGCTCAAGGATCAAAGAAACTTCACAATTCATTAAACACTTGGCTTTCAAGAACTCTGTGGGCAACCAAAGGAAGTTAATGTCAGTTTTCACCTTTAATGTTATCTCTTATGCACTTCAGAACAAGGTACAAGAAAATGAAAGAGTTTATAAGTACACCAAAAGATTTGCAGAGTGGCAAGAGCTTAATGCTTCAATTTTGTATAATTACTTGGTCGTGTAAACTAAAAATTTTGGCTATTCTAGAGCCTCTTGTTATCATAGATTCATAAAAAATGGAAAAGCTTATAATAGATAAATATCTTGTTGAAAGACATACATCAGAATTAAGATTTTGCATAATCACATATATTTGTCTAAAATTTCAGAAACCCAAGGACCATATAATATTAATCCAAAATATTAGAAAGCTCAAGGCAGTTAGCTATTTGGACCTTAAAGCACATATTAAGGAAGTAATGTTTCAATGTAGAAGATGAGCCAGCTTGAAATATTAAGAACATGCATTACGAAAAATAAAAACACGATATCATAAAAAAGATCACAATGTGTCTGCAAAAAGCTTCTTTTTTATGTAACTATTTCTAATTACCTAACAATATTTGGAACCAAGAAATTTATGAGATACTGCCATCCTAAGTAGATGGCCACAAGATATGATATCTATGAAGGAAACCCATCACCATAGAAAATAGAGCAACTTCAAATCTCATAGAATATTGTTATAAAATCAGAGATTTATAGACAGTTTGCTACCATCCCCAATTTTAAGCTCCGCCGCATTTTCTTCCTCCTCTCCAGACATACTTGAAATTTGGATTTCGCGTCAATCTAAAGAATCTGTAAACGAGTACAGCAAGATCAAAACTAAATCTACAAAATAATACTAATATAAATTGCATCCCACATAACAAACTTCCTACCAAACTTCGAGCCATCATAAGGATAATAAAAGAAAGGGAGAAACTCAGAGTTAAACTACCTATAGAAAAAAATATATATATATTGAAAATCTTGAGAAAGAGGACTCTGAATAAGGAATGACATATAACAGATTCTTTCATTTACTTCTCATGGTTTTAGTCTATAAAATTAAGAAATTGCCCTCATGATTGAACTCTAACTCGTAAAATACATGAAGGCCCTAGTATGTTTCATAATTTCTAACTTACCAATGCTTTCAATTAAAAAAACCAATATTAAAGATCTCAAAATACTTTGCGAGCCTAGATACAAACACTTTTGATTGATGTTAATCTTTCTGGAGATAAATCGTGGATAGATGTCAATTTAAATGATGCCCAAATCAATTTTCCATTAACCATAACGATTAGTAGCTTTAGGGAACAAATTGGCGCATTCGAGCCCTAATTAATTGGCTTCGTACCAAATTACGGTGAGTCAAAGAAAATTGTGAAACATATACAGCACATTTTGCGGCCTCGGAGGATGATTAGATTAGGCGATACTAAATCCTATTGCTGAAGATTCGAATTTAAGCTCCATGATCGAGAGTAACAGACACACGTCTCGAATTAGAACAGTATATACATTAAAAAGAAGAAGAAGATCAGGCCAAATCGTTCAATTCATGATCAGTTTATCAGATTTTAAATTGAAAAAAGCTGGGAGAGGACGCACCACAAAACACAGAGATGACTACGGTACGATATCCGGCGGCGAGACGAGACGGCGAAAAGAGAGCCGGCGAGATCAGAAAAAGGCGCGGGGCAACTCCCTCTGATTTTCTTCGTTTTTAACCCACATACTTCTATTATATTTTCAAAGAGTGCCACTGGATAGTGAGGTGGCAGTAGCCTTAAATTAATCATTATTTACGTAATTAATATATATTGTTTCTATTTTCTACCGTATTAACTTGTATTGAGATGAATCTATAGCTGAATTGTTATTGAGAATTTGAGTCATAAGTCACGAATTCGAATCATTGTTTTTTTTTTCACGATCACATATTGAAATTTTAACTCAAAATATGTTACATTTTTAAAATCTATGGTTTCATCTCCCCTCTACAGATATTTTAATATTCACTAATTGTTTGAATCATAATATATTTAGAAAAATGATGCAATATACTTTACTGTCTTATCATCCACTTATTAACGAGGAAAAATTTATGTGATGAAATTGGTAGAAGATGTAAGTTCTTTGTGTCTTATTATTGCTCTCATTAATTTCAGCTAAAAAATACTTATGTAGTATAATAATACGAGACTTTATATAATTGGTATAACTTACGAGCTCTCCAAATAACGATCTTGATCTCACAAGATCTAAATTTAATTTCATTGATCTCGACCCATTTAGTTCTCAAAGTTTATGATCACCAATAATGAGGGAGATAGCACGGAGGAAGTCTGATTCGATAACTTCAAGAATGGCAAGGAGTTTAATCAGTAAATATACATGGATAAGAATAAAATACAAAATAAATCAATTTTAAAAATTAAATATAAATTTCCTGCAAAATATTATTTATATTAAAAACATTTCAATTTGTTAGTAATGTGAGGATGGATGAACCTTCGATTTAGAGAGAGAAGAAAAAAAACAAAATATCTTAATCGTTAAATTATATATTAAGTTAAAAATGTTTAAATTGGTTTCTAGAAATCAGCAAATTATTTATTAATCTATTTATATTTCCATCTCAGTTCATTGTCACGTTGCCGCCCAACCCAACCATCATTCAATATTACCCTCCAACTTGAATACCGTCTCAGTCCCTCGTCGGGTCAATTTATTATTAGTAAAAAGAAAATGTCAACTTATTATTAAAAACCAGTATTATAAATTAGTTTTTTCTTTTTTCTTTTTTACTCTATACTTTACGGCATACTCTCATATTTTGGGAAAATATAAATCAAATTATAACCATTTATATTAACTTTTACCAAAAAGTCGCTTATTAATTTTGACAATTTGTATCAATTTGGATGAAATTGGACATTTATGATACAAATTAATAAAAGCTTGCCAAATTCAAGGTGATTTCTTTTACACATTCAATTCAAAAATCTTAAATTTATCGAATTGAATAATAATTTTGGATAAATTAAAAAAAAAGATGCACTCAATTAGTTAAAATTTTATTTTATCGAAAACTTGCAAATCTAAGAGAGACCTTGTGGGTACTTTTTATTATTTTCTATGTTTTTTAGTTGGGTTTAACCGTTTTCTTTTCCCTTTCTTACCTATTTAATTTCACAGGTATGTTTTCAATATTTAGTGATTATTATTATTATTTAATAAGGTTACGTGAGATCGAACTTCTAACCTCGAGAAAATGAGTACATGTCAATTACTATCAAACTATGTTCATGTTGACAAGTTTATTATTATTATTATTATTATTATTTTGAGAAAGACATTATTTCGCCACTTATTCTTAATTGGAATGGATGAGTTAACAATTCTCCATAAGGATTTTAAGCCTAGAATAACTTTGTTAAGTTCTAAATTAAATTTCCATTAGGTACATATCCACAAAGTGACAAAGAAAACTGGGCCAGCTTGACAAATTTGCTAATGATTTAATTTTATAAAATTTATAATAAACAAATATTTTCAATAGTCCATTCCCAAATTTCGTTTCCACGGGGCAACACAGATATCAAATTTTCTAACTTATAGACTAAGTTTAACGACTTTATGCCATAACAAAACTGACTTAAGCAACCTAAACTTAAAATTTTTTTATTTTTTTTTTATTCACTTAAAGTTAAAGTTAAAATAAAAACTAAAAATAAACATAAATAATAAAATTAAAAATAAAAATAAATAAAGCAAATAAAAACTAGAAAGGTGTAAGAGTAGTTGCTACAACAGCGAACGATCCTTATCATTATTAATAGCAGTGGGAATGCGACTCTTACCTGTACTGATTTTCCTGTCTCCTGTATATCTGTTTTACACTTTCAATTTTTTTTTTTAAAAAAAGGTAGGTGGTCCCCACGCTGACGTCACCACCTACAATTCCAAAAATACTTCATCATATAATATAAAAATATTGGGAGCTGCTACATTTAACATTCCTCGACAGAATTTAATATCTGCCCCAGAAAAAAGGCCAGTGCACTATTTTCTTCCAATCCAAACGCCACGTGGCACGAAACAACTGGCCCCCACTGGGTCCAGTCAACCCCGACTTTTTTGTTTTTTTTTTTTAATTTTCCCCCGTGGAAAAAAGAAGCTTCCGTCTTTGACTTCAGCCCCCTCCCTCCCGTCGAAGTCCTTCTTCTTCTTCTTCCTCTCTTAATTCAGTGGGAATGAGAACTTAGCAACGCTAATTTGGAGCTGCGATTTGTCTCTACTGAAGGAACCGCGAAGATTTTGGAAGTTTTCTTTTGGGAATTCTTTCTTAATTTGCTTTGCGTCCAAGAAAAGAATTTCATGCAGAATTTCTCCTGCTCTCTTTCGTCCACAGGTTGTTATTTCTCTCCCTCAGCGCTATTTTTCATTAATTATATATTTGGGAACTTGGATTCTCCAATCTTAATCTAATTGCGGCGTTTTAGGTGCGATGCATGGATTTTCTCATCTAGTGTACAAATTCCTGTTTGATTATTTTCTCTTCTCGATCTGATCTATGATTCCGGAACTCCTTCTGTTTTCCAGTTTCGGAATTGTTTCCACGGAGTTCTCTGTTTTCTGACTGTTTTTTGTGCTCTTTTATTATCATTTATTTCTGGAATTTTTTTTTTTGGATTTTGTTCTGTTCACGTGGAGGAAATTAACCCGGTGTTGTTTTAGTTGTTTCCCTCTCATTCGAGCAGTTTAAAAACTTTATAGGTTACTGCTTTTTAATCCCAGAAGTAAGGTTAAGAATTATGATGATGATTTTATGAAATTAGTGAAATTGGGTTGTCAAGTAGTTGTGTTCACGTCGTGTTTTTGGGTATTGAAGGTTGACTTTTCGTTATGACTTCTGATAAGATTAAATATATCCTAAAATATCTGACTTCAGCTTTTAGATTTAGTATGATAAATAATTTTCCAGTGATTTAACATACTATCAAAGCAGGACCTTACATCTTTGAACTTATGTAATGTTATTTTCTTCCTAATTTATATTGATAGTCGATTGTTGAGTTTTATGCTAATTTTCAATCTGAGGAGAATCTTAAGAATAATTGTACTTAATCGTTTGGATTTTAGCAGCGATCAAAAAACTTTTGGATGTTTTTATAATCAAGTATATGGCTGAATGGTTGTGACTGCAGATTTATGGCAAACCTTCATTAATTGCTGAGGTGTGGCCAGCAGGTGTTTGGAGGGGCCAGATTTTGGAGCAAGATGGCCACTGGATTGACTGCTAAAATTCGATTGGTTAAGTGTCCTAGATGTCGCCGGCTTCTTCCAGAGTTGCCTGATATTCCTGTTTACAAATGTGGTGGATGTGGAGCTGTTCTTCAAGGTAATGCTCTTCGACACATCTTATCAGAAACCTTTCATTTCAAATATGCAAGTATATTTCAGTTTTTGGTACTGGAAATTGGAAAGTCTTTAGGGATATGTTGAGTTTTTGGGACAAACCGGTTTTGATTTGGTTAAGAGTGGAATATGAGAATGTTTGGTTATAGTGGAATTGTTCTTTTTGTGATACATTCCTAATTATTAATGGTTTGATAAGAAGGTGAATTGAGGCAAAAACATGGGTGCTTAGAATTGATTCTATTTTAAAACCATAAAGGTATGATTTGCATATTTAATCGACCGCAATAGTTAACTTTGTAGTTGCCCCTTAGTAATTCTTCTTTTGAAAGCTATTACGTACTTACTCTGATTCTTCATGTAGCGAAAAATCGAAGAGATAGTTCCCACGACACGGAATTGGGCTCACAAAACAGAGATTCTGCCCAGAGGCATGAAGTCAACCCTCCTTCTGAAGATAGGGAGCCTAGCATTTCAAGCCATGGAGCAATTATTCCACTCCGTGGCGAGTCTAATTTGGAATTGAACAATGAGAGGGATAGAAATGAATCTGGAGAATGGGGTAGTGAGAGGCTTGTTCATACGACTTTGAGTGAGCAGCTAATGAATGCTAGAAATAATGGCGAATCTCATCACGAGAATGGCGAACTCTCGGATGGAGATCTTTTGAAAGCAGAGGAAGCTAGCATTTCTTCATCAAGTCATGAAGCAATTATTCCATCCTCAGGCGAGTGTGTTATAGACCCAGATGTTGAGAAGGATCAAGACGAATCTGGCAGTGAGCAACTTGTTCGTAGGAAGTTGGGTGAACGCCAAAAGTACGCTAGAAACAATGACAAACCTCGTGCCAGCGACGATGGGCGATCAGGATTTCCAAATCAAGTTTATTACGAAGAAGAGTGCTCTTATCATGAGAATGGCAAGCTCCCAATCCCATCCAGAGATCCTTCAGTAGGCGAGGCAGATAGCATTTCAAGTCCTGAAGCAACTATGTCATCCTCTGGCGAGTGTTTTATTGACCCAAATGATATAAAGGTTCAGAAGGATCAGAATGAATCTGGGGATTGTAGTCTGGAGCAGCTTGCTGATATAAATTCAAGTGAATGCCTAAATAATGCTGGAAGCAATGATGAATCCCGGGCTTTCCACGATGAGCAACCAGGCGGCTCAAACCAATTCTATTCTAGAATCGAATTTGCTTCTCATGGGAATGCCAAGCTCTCGGGACAAGGTCCTACAGAAGAAGAGGAAACTAGCACTTCAAGTCATGAAGTAATAACAATCCCGTTCTCTGGTGAGTCCATTGTGGATCCTAATGATGAGAAAGATCGAAAGGAAGGAGATGAATACAACCGTAGCGAACAACTTGTTCAGATAACTTCGAGCAAACACCAAAAGAATGCCAGCAATGGTGACGAATCTCCTGCTCCTGCTTGTCACGACGGTCAATCTGGATTTTCAGACAAAGCGTTTTTCGTGAATGGGGTTGCTACTTGTGGGAATGAAAAGCTCCCAAGTGGAGATTCTTCAGAATCGATAGATGAGATCTTACTGTTGGGAGAAGAAAGTCCAGAAGCAGATGATAGGAAGAAGATTCATTCTAATTTAGAATGCTCAGGTATTTCCAATGAAGTAGCTAAAAGTTCTATTATTACTGCTGATACACAAGTGGGGACAAGCATTTCATCTAAAATTCTTGCTCCACTTTCCGAACGAGTCAAGGAACCCGAGGAAACGATTAGCCATGATCTTGACCATCGAAACTCTGTAGATAATTTTGAATGTTCCGAAGTGAATCAATGTGCTGAACCTAGTGATGCCCTTCTTGGTATGGTCAAATCTCCAACCACCAAGGGTTCTCCTGCATATGATGGAAGTGTATCCTCATACGATGGAATGGACGATCAGATTTTGGACCATCGTAGATGTTCATCAAGGAACATTCATGGAACTTCCAACTTTCTTACTGCCGTAGAAGGTCCAAAAAGGGAAGAATCATTGGTGAACAGTAACGCAGTGGCTAGAGATTCTGAAATTCCAATTGAAGCAAGGAGTTCCTGGAAAAATTTGTCTCGTGAGAAGCATCATGACATAGAGTACCATGAAAGGAGTCAAAATAGAAGACATGACTTTTCAATGCAAAATAGAAGCAGGTTAAGGAGAGAGAAATATCATAAGTTGTCATTACTCGGAAGGGATTGCCATGGTGGCTACGAAAATGGCAGCACTTCAGGTTCTATGTTTGACGAGTCCTGTGATTCAAGATTGCATTCATCAGACAATTTTGCGGACCATGATGAGGAAAAGGTTAGATTGTTGAGAATGGTTTATGAACTGCAGGATAAGCTAGAGAAAAGTTGCAATCTTAATGGAAACGGTAGTGGAAGAGTTTCCATGGGATCTGCTCAAAAGGATGCATGGGCGCCAGTGTACTATGATCATCAGATTCCTCAGGAGGAAAGCTGGCATGACTCAGAATATCCTTCTTACTCCCAAAGAAATGAGCGTCGAACTAGTTATCCTGGACACAATTCTTTGTCGCGGATGACTTCTGGTGCAAAGACTGTTTCTGGGCCACAAATGAACCGTTTTGGCATGGAACACTTCCCTGATAACTGCCCTCACTCAATGCAGCTGCTTCCATCTGAACGCTGGCATAATCGAGGGTCCCGTATGGCGCATATCGATCATGACTATTATAGTTCTTACAGCTCGTGTCCCTCGAGTCCCCAACATTTTCTTAGCACACAGTTGTCTGCAAGGGGCAGTCATATGCAGTCTCATCTCAGCCATCGAAATCATGAGAGGAATTATCTGAGAGAGAAAAATCGTGTGGTGAAGCATCATCTTCGGCCAATGGCGGGAGGCGCCCCTTTCATAACTTGTTACTACTGCTTGAAGTTGCTGCAGATTCCTGCAGAATTTCTCTTATTGAAAAGGAGATGCAATCAGCTCAAGTGCGGTCATTGCTCAAAGATTCTTGAGTTTTCTCTTGAGAGCAGAACTCATATTGTTCCATATGCACACAGAGCTGCAGAACTTCCGCCATCTGAGACCAACGAATGCGATGATTATGCTCTCGCGATTGGCAAAAGTGGCTCCAGAGAAATAGATGATTCTATTGTTTTTCCGCATCCGCCCCGCCGAGACATGGATATGAAATTCAAGAATCTAAAGACAGGATACCAGTCTGGTGAGCCTTCCTCCCACGCCTACAAAGCTGATAAGTATTCCTCCGAAGTCAGAAAACACTCTACCTTGTCAAATTCGCCACTTCATCGACTCATGGGCTATTCTTCTCCAAGCCAAGTCATAAGAGGGTTAGTGACATCAAGAAGCCTGCAGAGGAAAAACTAAGGTAATGAGAATGGAAAGGGAATAAGAATGAATGAGAATGGTAGTAGCTAGGAAGGGAATTGAAATGATTACTTCTTTTGAACCCGACATTATAACATGTATGATTTTAGTTTTCTGAGGAACTGATGAAGCTGAAACTTCTGGATCTGCTAACCATGCTAGGCGTTACAAGCTCGACGACGTTTTTGGCATTCTTCCACGTAAAATAATGTATTTATAGATTCATTACAAGTATAGACAGCTACCTTTTGCTTCTTTGGTTTGTATTTAATGCAGGTTACAGGAGGTTTGATATGTCGTTAATAGAGACGGGAATATGTTATATAAAGGTTATGTATATTACATTACGTTCATATAAGGAAAGGGATAATTACATTTGAGTTATTTACATGACTGCTAGTTTCTAAGCTCGAGGATTAGCTCCAACCTTTAAAATTTGAAGGGAAGGCCATTTTGGTCATTTACTTAATACAGTGGTGTAGAACTTCTAAACACTTAAATATTTTTCATAATTTTAACGGGCATTTTGACCTGCACCTAATAAGAAATAATTAAATTTTGTTGTGATCTTATAAATTCTAGTTTCATCAATATAAATTCTAAAACTAAATACTTTATGGAGTGGAGAGGTATATATGTTTTTGTGAATTGTGATTGGATGAACCATGACAACACACTTTTTTTTTCTTCTGTCAGTATTAAAAAAACAACATTTAAAAAAATAATTATAACTATGGCCAAATTGGGTTGTGCCATTGTGGTTTTCGGTCCAAATATGATCTATCTACTCAATAATTCATCCGGTGACTTCACAGTTGTTAGAAGCAAGGAAGAAGACTCCATCAACTATTATCTTGAGTACGATTCATCTTAATTATTAGATAAACAAATGCACTCATAATACGAGTATAGGTTAACGGTAATTGATATGTATTAATTATTTTGAGGTTGGAGGTTCAATCTCCTATATCCACAAATCTTACTACTTAGAAAAAATACATGCATAAATAAAAAAAGATTCAGGTTTTTAAAAATACTACATTCCATTTAAAAATAGGAATACAATTACAAATATTAGAATAAAAAAAAGTTGCAAATATATTAGAAAAAATGAGAATATCTCCTCCCCAAAAGAAAAAAAATATCCAATAAGAATTTCCATAGGGGCATTTTCGTAATTCTGTTGGACCGGCGGTACGAAACCGACTCTGCGTCACCGTGACGATCGAAACTCGCGCTTAACCAAAACGACGTATCGAACGACGCTGAATGGTTTTCTTCAACTTGAGTAACCCGTCAGGCAGAGGCTAATGTATTTTCTCTGTAATTTTACTTGAATTTCACCACTTCACACAAAGATTGGCTATGTTCATCATTGGCGTGGTGCACCTATAATCAGACTCGTAGCTTCCCAGGTTCAGTTTTTCCCTCTTTGACATTTTGTTCCAAAATTTGCTTGTTTTTATTGTTACAGAATTTCTTGTTTTGGTGACACTCTCTTGAATTCTATGATAATCTCCCAGGTTCGGGTTTCATTTTATCTTCTCTTTCGACATTTTAGTCTAAGCTTTGTTGTTTTAGAGGATTTATAGTTCAGGTGAAGTTCTCTTGAATTCTATGATTTGGGTTTGTTGTCTGTTTATGGTTCAGATGCTATCCCTCTCTCTCATGCACAAGAAAGTTCAGTTTTCCAACTATGAACTATCTTTGGCGTTTGCTTCTGTGTAGTGAGCTGGGGCTTTATGTTCTCTTTCATTCAGATACTCATTTAAGTTAATTTTGTCTGTTTTAGTTCAACTGCTTACCACTATAATACTATTATAGCTTGCTATTTAATATAAATTACATATTCATTTTTTCAGCTTGATAATTGCTATATTTTTGTTAAAATAGTCATAGAATGGGTAGAAGGAAGCAAAGTCGACCTCATCGCTCTGGTGGAATAAGACTTGAAATTCATGCGAATCCCGAGACACAGGTTGATATAAGTGTGGTTTTGGAAACTGAGAAATCATCAGACATCAAACTTAATGAGATTAATGAGCCCTTTTACGTTGAAGTTGATCCGACTGGGTGGAAGTCCAATAAGCACCTTGATATTTCTGAAGTTGTTCTAATGGATTTGAGGTTTGAACACCATTTTGTCGGTTTTCAATTTGATGATAGTTTTTATGAGAGCTCGAGGTACTCATTAAGGTTTCGGCTGTGCAATGTAAATGAGTTTCTCCTTGGTCGTATTAAGTTTGGTCATTGGCCAATTTTATCTTCAAGTGATATATCTTTGGAACTCATCGATAAAGGCATGGAAGAAGGTACGGATGCTTGCTCAGTGGTTTTATCAGGTAACTTTGATGGACCAGATGATGCCATTTCTGGCCTTGTTCATCTTGCAAATTTGAAGTTCATGACATTAAGGCCAGTTATGGGTGCTACCCTTTCCCGTAGTACAGGATCTCTCAGGTTGAGGGTGGAAATGTTATCGAGTGCCCTTGATGCTTGTGAGTCAATATTTGATAACGGCAGGCAGTTGTGGAAAAAGAGTATGATGAGTACCATTGCTTGGTTGCGTCCTGAAGTAGAATCATCTGAGGCCAAGTATGGACTTGTTAAATCAACTAATGTGGACAGTCATTCGCTTCATGAGATGGGGGATGGCTCGTCCAACACTAGGAAACACATAAATTTCGATACAGTTGGCTTTTATGATGCCATTAAGCCATCAAAGTGAGTGTATTTGATATTCACGTACTTGTGTATTCTGTTTTTATTAACTTACAGAATGTTTGACATAAGTTCAATGTAGAGATGATCCTATGCTTGATGAAGACATACCCAATTTGCTTCCAAAGCTAAGACCATATCAACGTCGTGCTGCCTATTGGATGGTACAACGGGAGAAAAGATTTTCTGGAAACTCAGGTGTGGGGGAAAACGTGCAGCTTATTTCTCCCTTGTGTATAGCCCTGGAATGTCTTGATACTTGTACGAGAATGTTTTATAATCCTTTCAGGTATTTACTTTCAAGCATGGCCGAGTGGAGTGAATAAAGTTGAACAATATGTGTTTGTTGATGTAGTTACAAAGACTTACTTTTCCTCTTGTATGCTTACTTAAGTTTATCTCCAGTGGAAATCTCACTTTGAGTGCAGAGAAAACTTTGCCGCACGTTTACGGGGGAATTCTAGCTGGTAATTGCCACCAACTAGAAATTATTACATTTTCCTAAGCTAGGTATTTCATTTAATATCAGCACTCAGTTCTGATACAATTATCCATTCTTATGGTCTTTATTTTGTCTGAATAATATGATGTCTGCAGATGAGATGGGTCTAGGAAAAACCATTGAACTACTTGCATGCATACTTTCTCACCGGATGTCAGTGTTTGAAGGTGAAAAAGGTTTTGGTAATGAGTCACAACAAATTGTTGGAGGCCAGAGAACTGAATTTAAAAGATTGAAAAGGGAGCGTGTTGAGTGTGTATGTGGAGCTGTTAGTGAAAATCACAGGTACAAGGGGTTGTGGGTACAATGTGACATCTGTGATGCATGGCAACATGCTGACTGCGTTGGTTATTCACCTAAAGGAAGAGTTCTCAGACCCATTGATACAGAGGGTGGGAACTGTATAAAGAAAAAGAGAAACAAAAAAAATAGAGTAAATGTAGTCGTTAGAGATGGGCAACATGTTTGTTTGCCATGCTTAGAGCTGATGCAAGCTACTGACACCCCAATGGCTACAGTTGCAACTCTAATTGTCTGTCCAGCTCCCATATTATTCCAATGGCATGCTGAGATTTTACGGTATACTCTTATTTGACCATATTCTACCTATCTCATTTCATTGCATTTGATTTTTTGGACACCTACAATTTTACACCTCGATTAACTTGAAATGTTGTGACTAAATTATGTTCAATAAGTTGCTGTCTAATATACTTTTTTCTTCCAATAAGAAACATTAGATTACTTAATAAATAATGGGAAAAGGAATAAAAGGAGGCGAGGGGGATTTGCTCATTCTCCTATAGCCAGCAGCCAAGAATGATAAAAATACCTTTGCTGTCTAATATCCTTCAGTGTTAACTAAATGAGATTCTTTTCATCTGAGCCTGATGTTTCCTAATTCCTATGATCTCTGGTTGAGGACATCATACATAAATTCACTTACGCAATGCTAAGCAATTAGAAAGCAATATGATAGGTCTTGTTTACACAGAGCCAGTTTTTTACGACAATTTGCTAATCAGTACTTCTGGTTAAATGTGTACGGAGACTTTTATGGACCCATGAGAAGGAATCAAAATGACCATATTGGAGTTGGTTTAGTGCTGAAATTGAAAGATTACTTATGAAAAAAGTTTAAAAATTATGGCTGCATAGCCGTTACTCTCTTTCAATTTCAACTTAGTAGATTATGACTGCACCTTTCTTGTTGTGGCATGCATGCTTATCTCTTTAATTGGACGTTTTTGTGAAAAGTTCATCTATTTAAAACTAGTTCACTTAAAAGTTTTCATTTGAAATGGTAGTGCAATCTGACTTTTCAATTGTTATTTATCATCCCAGTCATACTCGTCCAGGTTCAATAAAACTACTTGTCTACGAAGGAGTGAGGGATACTTCTCTTTCTAGCACATTGTCGGTGCAGATTAACGATCTCGTCAATTCTGATATAATTTTGACATCATATGATGTTCTTAAAGAGGACCTATCCCATGATTCTGATAGACACGAAGGTGATCGACGATTCATGAGATTTCAGAAGAGGTCTGTTCTTACCTTGCTGAGAAATGTTGCTTGGAATTTAATATAATTACTTCTTTCTTACTTCAAAACTAGTCAGAGTAAGAATTTAGTTTAAGCCTTTAAGGTTGTAGTGGTACTATATACTTTTAACCAGTTTGCTTCTAGGGAATTATCTTCTTGATATCCATCACATATCAATCTTTGTGCCCTCACTATCTGTGTTTACTGCATGCAAACAATGTGAAATGTAGTTGTACTGGCATGCTTGTGTTTCAACTTTCAAGTTATTTTAAGTTTTTAACCTGATGGTTTATGTTCCTAAATATCCTTTTTTCTTCTTTTAGCAACTTGTTTAGGTAAATCTTGAATATGACAACGATTCATCCTTCACTGTGTTATTTTATCTATTTCCATACAGGAGGTCTAGGGAGAAATATTTAAGGAATTATCAATTTGTTTTCTTCAATGTAATCCTCTTTTGAAATTGAAAACTCATGAAAATATATGTGGGCTGTGGCCACTTCATTTTAGGTACCCTGTTATCCCTACTCCTCTCACCAGGATCTTTTGGTGGAGGATCTGTTTGGATGAGGGACAAATGGTAGAGAGCAATGCTACTGCTGCTACTGAAATGGCTTCACGACTTTATGCTAGTCACCGCTGGTGCATTACAGGAACTCCCATTCAAAGGAAACTTGAAGATTTATATGGATTACTAAGATTTGTGAAAGCAAGTCCATTTGATGTTTATAGATGGTGGGTTGAAGTTATAAGAGATCCATATGAGGTACGTGGCATTCAAAGATTTAATGTTCAGTCGTAGTTAGGGAAAAGGGAAAAGGGAAAGAGAGAGACAAAATGCCATATAAACTTTGTTATTATAACAACTCTGCCATTCTTAGTCGTTTTTATACATGTTCATTTTTTGTCCTTTTTCTTTATCTTTAGGTCTTATTCAGGGATTGCTTCCTAGCTATCCTTGACCCACGTTATTTTGCATTTTTGACATACACTGGTTTCTTTATTTTTTACCAACAACTTCTGCAGAGGAGGGATCCTGGTGCTATGGAATTCACACACAAATTCTTTAAGCAAATAATGTGGCGCTCTTTAAAAATACATGTTACGGATGAATTGCAGCTACCTCCTCAGGAGGAGCAAGTCACTTGGCTAACGTTTTCACCAATTGAAGAGCACTTCTACCAGAGGCAGCATGAAACTTGTGTGAGTTATGCCCGTGAAGTTATTCAGGGTTTGAAAGATGATTTTGTCAAAAGGAAAGTCGCAGGTTGTTAGTGGTTGATTATGACTTCATTCAAGAGTCATTTCTTTGTTCATCACTATGATTTACATCACAAGGGAAAGTGTTATATCTTACATTGTCGTACTGCTATCTTTTTTCAGATTGTGTCTCTTCTGATGCACCATCCGATATTCTCATCACCCATACCGATGCTGGAAAGCTGCTGAGCACACTTTTGAAACTTCGCCAAGCTTGCTGTCACCCACAAGTAGGAAGTTCGGGACTGCGCTCATTGCAACAATCCCCAATGACAATGGAGGAAATACTGATGGTATTCCTCAGATCAAGATATGTGAGTTTTCATGAAATGAAATCTGGTGTAAGACTTTAGTCTAAGTGGTTTTACTTCTCAGGTTCTTGTTAGTAAGACCAAGATAGAAGGAGAGGAAGCTCTGAGGAGGTCGGTTGTTGCTTTAAATGCACTTGCTGGGATAGCTATAATTGAGAAGAAATTTTCTGAAGCCTTCTCACTATATAAAGAAGCTCTAGAATTGGCTGAGGGGAACAATGAAGATTTTCGCTTAGATCCTTTGTTGAGCATCCACATCCATCACAATCTTGCTGAGATACTACCATCAGCTGTGGACCAGTCGCAATCTCCTTTAAAGGATCAATCTTATTCAAGAACTTGTGAAGTGAAAGCCTCCAAGATGGATGATTCTGAAAATTATGATAATCATACCATGAAGAAACAAAAAGTTAGTGAGACCTCGTATGCTCCTTGTAGTGATACAGAGAAGATATTAGACAATCCTCTTAAGCCTCATCGGTCAAGTAGTTACTTCAATGATAGTTCTTTTAGAAAAGCATGTGAGACTATGAGGCAGAAATATCTAGCTGTCTTTTCCTCAAAGCTATCTATTGCCCAACAAGAGTTCACAAAATCCCACATGCAGGTATGTTTCTACGTGCTACTCCTTTACTCTAGGCTGTTACAATGTATATCGTCATTCATAATAAAGTTCATTGTAAGATCTTTTTTGTGGTAAAGATTGATGGTATGATCACCATTTGGGTTCTACTATTTGGTTGCTTATCGATCCTTTTTATCATTGGGTGCTTAAAATGTAGTTTATTTCTTTCCGATGGATAATCTTGGTGTATTAATTTCACTTGGAAACTACTTTAGTTTAGTACAGCCATGATGAGTATTACATATATCACTAATTTTTATGGCTAATTTGTTCAATACAAACTGAAGGTCTGCAGTGAACTCAGAGAAAGGGAAAGTCTTAACAAAGTTTGGTGGCTGGAAGCAGTTGATCATGCTGAACAGAACAAGGATTTCTATCATGAGTTGATAAGAAAGATTGAAGAGGCCGTATCTGGAAACATTAACAACTCGAGATCATCTAGAGTGGGATCCCGGTAAACCATGTCAAACTCTCTGCATTATATCATTACTTTGTCCTTCTCCCCAGTCATGATTACTGATTGATTTCCTAGCTTGATAACAGTTTCCGCAGCATTAATGCTTTAAAGTATCATGTTCAGACTGGTTTGGATCTTTTGGAAGCTTCTAGGAATGTTGTGCTTGATCGACTTTTAGAAATTGATCAGACGATGGAAAATCCAAAAGAAGAAGATATTGAACGTGTTAGGTATTGTCAAAATTGCCAGGCTGACAGTAATGGACCACCTTGTGTTCTTTGTGAACTAGACGAACTATTTCAGGTTCTTCTTCCTGATTTGTACAATTACCTTAAATCTTTCTCTTTGACTTGCATTACGAATATAGGCTCTCCTTCTTTTCCAGGAATATGAGGCAAGGCTCTTCAGGCTTAATAAAGTACAAGGAGGAATGGTTTCTTCTGTTGAAGAGGCAGTTGAAGCCCAGAAGAAGAAGTCTGCACTTAATCGTTTCTATTGGAGTCTGTTGCAGCAAAATAAAAATTTAAGTTCATCTAGAGTTGGATATGAAGAATCTAACAAAAGAGATGTTGGAGAAAAAGTTATGGTTAGTTTTTCTTCTTTACCTACTTTTTTCTTAGAAAGGGGGCCCCAGGTTGGTGACATCTGGCTTATAATATGATTATTTTTTATTTCTCGTGATGGAAATTGTGAACTGTTTGATTTCTTGTACTCTTTTTTTTTAAAAAAAAAATTGAAGTGGGTTCCCTCTCTTTCAAATTATTGCTTATTTTTGTAGTGTATATATTTTGTCGAACAACTAAAAAAAAAAGAAAAAAAAAAGCAAGAGAGAGAGAGAGAGAAAGAAATATGTATTCTTGTTTAACAACCCTCATATTATCTGGCAACAGACCCTGTTCCAAATTTGTACGTTGTTGATCTGATTTTTAGGTGTGTAAGCATCCTTCTGAATTGGAGGTCGTTCTTGGTGTTATCAAGAACTTCTGTAAAACACAACTAGGGAAAGAAAGTATAGCAGCAGCCAACAAGCAGCTACATCTTCTGGAGGTACTATTTGGTCAAATTCTATTTTATGAGAAAAAATACCCTTCAAATGTCCTGTGATGACTGATTCCTCGACACCATTTTTCGCATGAAGAGCTTTCTAATGTTCTTAGAGCAAATAATTCGTCTTATTAATTTTATATTTTGGAGCCCTAATTAATTTATAAGACTTAGGCATCGTGATAGAGAGGTGAACCATATAATCGATCTTCTATAATTTAGAAGACACCAAACAGATATTTTTTGCTTTCTTTTTTCCTGATATCTGGAGTGTTCGGGTTAGCTTGTGCGTACCTTGACTATTCTTACGAGACCCTACTACATTTGGTTGTCAAGCTAACTCATAGGATCAGGGTTTAGGGCTTAGAGTTCGGAACATATATTTAAATCTTATATGTTGATATAGGCATAAACTATTTTAAAATTTTAAGACAATTCTTGGTCCTAGAATTTATTATACATTGAGATGAAAACTTACTGGATTTTTAACGATTAGATTTCTTTTTCAATTTGTCTAGTACATGCGAAAGGAGTATGGACATGCAAGGTCCTTAGCCATTGCTCAAGCTCAAGTTTTGAATGCTCATGACGAAATTAAGATGGCAACCACGAGATTATGCTTAAGGGACAATGACGATGACGACTCAGCTTATGCGATTAGTGAACATGAGCTACCTGCAGCTAGTGTCCAGTATTCTAGCGATAAGTTCTTGTCCTTGGCTATGTTATCACGTGTAAAAGGAAAACTTCGTTATTTGAAGGTTAAAATGTTTCCAGATCTGTTTAGTGCATTGGAAGTTTTCATATCGAGAATAGTTATGTTGTTACTCACAATTTCTATTATTTCCAGGGTTTGGTGCAATCTAAACAAAACACACCATTAGGTAGTTCTAGTAATCTAGCGTTAACTCAAGAGCCGGCTATCATGTCAACATCTATGGAACAAAAAAGTGAGAACACACCGAAAGCTGATGAGGAATCATGCCCTGTTTGCCAAGAAAAATTAAGCAATCAAAAGATGGTTTTTCAATGTGGACATATGATATGCTGTAAATGTGAGTGTTGGTTTTTACATCAGTGCTCGTCTTTTGAGTCACCTGCATATGTGTTTTATGATCTACATTAGTTCACAAGATAATTACATCTATGCAACTGCCAAATTCCTGGATGAAAATGTGATTTAGTTGATTCAGCACTTACATTTAGAGTGAGTTTGTTTTGAGAGGTATTTTTTAAGGGAAACTCTCATTTTCGTTTTGAGAGTTGTATTTTTAAGGGAAACTCTCATTTTATTAGCATTCTATATTGCTTTAAGTTTTTTTTTTTTTTAAGTTCAGAATCACTTCCAAACACCTTAAAAAAGTACTTTTAATTGCTTATTTCAAAAGTCATATCAAATTCAATGATTTTGTGCTTATAAATCCTTTAGAACGGAAGTGAGGGTGAAATCTTATTCTATATATTCATCTTTGAACCTAGTGCGCTTCCTGCTTCTGAAAACTATCAACTTGTGGTTTCATCCATTTCTGAATGGTTACTTCATCATGTATTCTAACGGCCTTTTTTCCTGACAGGTTTGTTCGCAATGACTGAAAAGACCCTGCAGGATAGTAAAATTCAAACTCAATGGGTGATGTGCCCAACCTGTCGCCAACACACAGATTTTGGTAATATTGCTTTTGCAGATGATAGTAAAAATGAAATACTTGATCCTTCAACATTGCACGAAACTTCCAGGGAGCATGAAACGTTCATCACAGTTCAAGGTTCCTATGGAACAAAGGTTTTAATTCCTACCTAAAGCTTCTTAATCGTCTTTAATTTATGGCTGTGCAGATAGTTTTCCGGTTGCCTAGTCTGATGCTTGAACAATATTTAATCGATTAGGTTCTTGTTCTGTTTGTATACACTTCTTGGTTGAGTTAAGGGCTTAGTCTTAAATTGATGCTTTTGATGTGGCTAGTTGGAGCTTACTCACTGCAAAAATTGGTTGAGCCTGCTTGATCTTGCAATCTTTTACTGGTTGTAAACGAAAGGCTCCTATCTAACTTATGTTTGAATTCTTGGGTGTCGTGGGGAAGGAAATAGGGAAACATGAGGGTAAGAGAGCCCTAACATGTTTCCTAGATAATAGTCTAGTATAGATGGCTAGGCTGCGTGGAGTGGGTTGCCGGTAGAGAGGGCTAGTTTGGAATTGGGCATTGAATAGTAGAGACATGGTTCCATGTTGTGTTGCAGATTGCATCATTAAATTCAAAATATTGCATCTCATTTCAGTTCTAGTTGTCATGCAGTTGCCTTTGTGTGAGCGAACGACACGTGAGGACATTATCTCCCAACACATGCCTATCTTCATTTTTACCAGTTAATCTAGTTGTTTTATCATTATTTTTGTTCAAAATAAGAACATAGAGAAAACAAAAACTACATCGTGTTAGTCTCTCTATCATTTGTCCATGCCTGTTTTGCAGTCATACTTACTATGTACGACCTTCTGTAGATTGAAGCAGTTGTAAGACGAATCTTGTGGATCAAGTATACAGATTCCAAAGCAAAAGTTCTCGTTTTCTCTAGTTGGAATGATGTTCTTGATGTTTTGCAATACGCCTTTGCTGCCAATGGTATTACCTTTATCAGGATGAAAGGAGGCAGGTGAGATGATGATAGTATGATAATTTGAATGGCTCAAATTCCGAACAAGAGTGGAAAACTACCTCTATATATTTGTTTTCCCTCATTTCGACCCCCTCCATCTTTATGGTTCCTAGTTCGTCTGCATTATCCATTAATATTGATGATTGGTCTTTGCAAATGCAGAAAATCACAAACAGCCATTAGTGAATTTAGAGGACAGAAGATCAATGCAAAAGAAAATCACAAGAAACGGGCACAGGTGCCAGAGTTAAAATCCGCTCAAGTTTTATTGCTCTTGATCCAGCATGGAGCTAATGGCCTGAACCTTCTAGAAGCTCAACATGTTGTCCTTGTTGAACCACTGCTCAATCCAGCTGCTGAAGCACAAGCAATTAGCCGAGTACACCGAATTGGACAGGAAAATAAGACGTTCGTTCACCGGTTTATAGTATGTACCTAATTTTCTCTTTTTACAGTTATGCATATTATTATGTACATATAGAAACGATCCATCATGATGCACTCGTCTTCAGCCCCTCATCAAAACTTGGTGTTTCATACATGTCAAAGAAAAATCTTTAGCCTAAATGATTAGACTACTACAATCTTCACTAAGAAATATCTAAATATTTTCTTCTCACTCTTTTGGGGTCTTTGTAGGTTAAAGACACAGTGGAAGAGAGCATACACAAGCTAAACAGAAGCAGAGAGAACTCCTCCTTCATCACTGGAAATGCCAAGAACCAAGACCAGCCATTTTTGACGCTTAAAGAAGTCGAATCTCTGTTTGCGTCCAAAGCATCACCATTAGGGGACAGTGATGATAAGGAAAGTGAAACGTTGAGGCATTTGGCACCTTCCATGGCTGCTGCTATGGCAGCTGAAAGGAGACTCAGAGAGCATACAGCGTAGGATGTTTTATTCTTAAGAGTATAATTTATTTTGGTTCAGAAGCTCAGAAGGAACGTGAATAAAGCTATTTATTGGTTTCATTATCAGCATATGGCCCCCTCTTTACAATGTGGGTAAATGCCCTTCATATTGTTAATCATTAGGAATATGTATATATTATTGGAATTCAATTCAATGTAGAATATTCAGTTCCGCGGAGATCCTTTATATGTTGAATGTTAGGTTAATAAGATCATTTAATTCAACCAACTGGGGTGCAAACTGAAAACACCATGCACCAAAATTCCAACAGAAACTGAACGTAAATTACTTAGAAGAGAAGAATTAAACTCGGACAAATACCAAAGGAAATAACAAATAAACAAGTTTGTACACTGAATTTCTCAACAAATTAGTCCTTATAAATCCTAGGGTAGAGAACTCCTAAGTTCTAAATGTAATGTGAAATGAGATTACAGACTGCAGCAGTGTCAAGGCAAAATAACACTAGCAGCAGCTCAGTAAATAACATTTTCAGCAGCTCACGAGAAACTCAACAGAACTTCCAATGGTTATTGCAGTTTACACAAGTTACAAATGTAGTCATAGGTTCATCGGCACTCCGCGTCTGCAATTGATAGTAGGTCGTCTTGCGTTGACCACATCGACCACATTTGAATTGATCGGTAGTAGCTTTCGGAGCTCCTCCACGCTCACAGTCAAATAAAGCTTTTTGTTCAATCTCTTCATTCTCACGTTTCCTCTGATCGCTTGCCATCTCGGCTGTGCTCATATTAATTAGCCTTTCGGGCTTGATATGTCCAACAAGAACGTTTCTCCGGAAATCTGGGTTCTTGGGATCCTTGAGGTTGAACATTATAGATCTGTACTTGGCCTTCTGTGCCCCGGTAGAACCTCCCCAATTCTCAAACATCACGGATTCTACAGAAACAGCAACACGGACGGGGTCGCTTGCATTGACCTCATCTATAACATCTTCATCGGCCTCGCCAGGAACCTTGGAGAAAGCTTCACAAAGAAGTTCTCTTATTTTGTCTCGAGCAGCATCTTTTGATTTGATCATTGATGTAAGCTTTGGAGGTGCAGCAGTGCCACTTGATGGTCTCTTATCTATTGAGATTTTCTTCTCTTCTTTAACCACCCTTTCAGCCTTGACCTTCTCCAATGAATCAGTTTTCTCAACCTTGACAATGTTCTTCTCCGAGATCACACTTTCTGATCGAGAATATTTTACAGAGCTCGTGGTGCCATTCCTATCGGACTGCTCAACCTTGGAAACTCTCTCAACCTTCATGGAAGATGATTTTTGAAACTTCTCCACCTTGACAGACTCTGCACTGGGAGAACCAATTTTAGGCGACTCTTTACAATTGCCGTTTCCATTTTTCTTATTCTTGTTAGTCTCCTTGATAACTATTTCCTTCCACATCTCAATCAGGTCAGATGCATAGTCCTGTATTTTCTTCTTGGGGTGTTTAGTGAGGTGCCGAAGGCGCTTCCCGACCTACAGAATGCAATATATTGGAGTCATCAACACAGGCAAATGGACCTCAATTACCCGGAACAGGGATTAAAGAAATTCCAGAAAAGAAAACATATCAAGAACTATGGTTCCAGACCTATGTTCCAAAAACTTGGAATGGTCACAAATGAATTGATATCATTAAGTGAACAATCTCGAATAACAGATGAAATAAAGTGAACTCAGCATGTTATGGAACCGATGAAATTTTGGCTTAATTCATAATAAGAATCATGCATGATATTATGAACTAGTCGTCTAGAAAAAGAAACGATTATCAAGTCTAATGAGAAGAAAACCTGAGTGGAAACAAGGATTTGATAAGTAACAGGAAATTTCTTGAGCTGCCGTAAGGCATCTAGGCAACGACTTTCCTCCGCTCCCCCATCATTTGATGGAGCTGCTGCGGCATCTGCAGCCTTCTTCGCCGCTTCAAACAATTCCACCAGCTCATTCTCCATCGAATCACCCGCCAACTTGAAAATTTTATATTATCTATCCCCCACATTCGAACGAGAAGAAAAGAGCAAATGATCAGATCCCAACAACAAATACTGCGGAAAGATACAAACACACGCATACCAAAAAAAAAAAAAAGGATTGCAGAATTAACATCAAAATTTGACTCCTTTTCTTAATGAACAAGCAAAAGAATACCATCAATCGAAAGATATCGCCCTGCCGATGGCAAACGATCGATTTCGAATGAGCAACACTTACAGAGATCTGAACCGCCGGCTCCAAAAACGCCCGCAGTCGCACACTAAAGCAAAGAAAAACGACAAGAAAAATAGAACGGAAAATCAATTGGCTCCGGAAAATCCCCTTTTTCGGCAGGGAGACGGCGGAGAGTGTAGAGAAATTGAAACAAGGCATTGGGGATGAGGTATAAGGGTAGACGAAGCAAGAGAGGCGCCAGATCGGACGGCTGCTGTCGAAACACGTGGACTACAGGATAATGGTAAGATCCAAGAGCGATAGAACAGGTCAAAAGGGCTTTTAAATTTACCTATTTATCCGTAGGCAGAAGGAAAAAGGTAAGGGGGTTTTAGGTATTTCACTCGGTCATTAACCTTCAGTAATTGAATTGTACTCTTAATTGTTACGACGTCGTTTTCTTCAAACCGTTGGTTTCGCAGTTTTCTGTCTTTACAAGTCGTCTTCTTTCACCAATCAAAGATCATTAGATTGCATTTTAAATAATTTGCTGTTTTAATATTGGTTTTAGTGAATATTCAGTAGTATGTTATATTATTCATTAATAAAAGCTATGTTATTCGACTGTTCAAGGACTCCCATTATATTCTCCCAAAAAAAGAAGAGTAAGGAAAACCTCCAATTCTTGAATTGTTGAAAATAAATACTTAAATATAATCATAATACTTAAATTTTTAAGATAATAATGACAAATAAGTAAAAATTTATGTGGAGAAGGCAATGTAGAATGCACCGTTAGGGTTCGAGTAGTTGCAAATTGAGTATTATGTTTGTTGATTTAAGTATAAACTATTGAATGATATATAATTAAAAAAATCTAAGAAATAATTAACACCCGTTTTCTATTTGTTTATCTTTTCCGTATGTTAAAGATTAAATTTATGTCATCCAAGTAAAGATGACAGTCTTTAAAATAAATTTATCATTCCGCCGAAATTCAATTAAAATTCCCATATTTAATTTTTAAATGGTATGAAAAAATAATTTAAAAAATCAAGTTAAATATCTAATAACAGAAGTTTAGTTCTCTAAGCCATATGGTAGGGAGACTTCTGTATCTTATAGAAAGAGACCGACCAAAAGATCGAAGATCGAATCTCCAACCCTAATCACTATGTCAGAAACCTCCACCGATACCCGGGTTAGCAACTACGTCGAGTAGTGAATAAACCGTGTGCGACGGAGGAAAACGTCCTGGAAAATAAAAGTAGATAGGGGAAGGAAACATATGAACCTGAGCTTAACAATAAATTTTCAAATGTTGGAGCAATAGGAAGAACTCAGTTTAATCAAAACAGAGTGCATTACAAAACATGTTATTCCAATGAACTCTGCAGTTTACCCATTCGCGGCAATCAACTGATACTTATTAACAAAAACTGTGGTGAATCTTCAAATAACAAGTCATGCGTCTTGTGGTTTCTCCAAGAACGTTTTCTTGATCCAATCAAATGGCTGCGATGGCATTCAAAAGAGAAGGAACGGTAAGATTTGGAACATATTTAAATGCCACCACAGAGGAACCTCAACAATGGGGGAAAGATTGTATACAGTTCATTTTCTCTTCAAGAATATTATATTAGAACTAAAAGCTCCAGCATAATACAAACGGCTCCCTTTTATTTTACAAAGAAAATAACATGTAGTAAAAGATTAATTGGCACAGACTTTTTGAACGAGAGATGAACATTCCAAAAATTCAAAACAGTCGGGGAAAATGAACATAATTAACTTTTCTCTAGTATCTGTATAGCATTTCCAAGTAGGAAAACGACAACCATTCTTCTATGGGATAAGAAAAGATATTCTAAAACAATCCTAGTACTAAAATGTGCCAAGTCTGAACATAGTTTAAATGGTTAGGCACCAATAACTGTTGTAGGTTCAAGTCTCATCTCCTTTATTTGTTATGTAATATTTTCAATAAAGAAAAATGCTAAAAAGAAGATAATGTATTCTCCATAAAATGCCATAAGAGAAACAAAAATCCCTATAGTCAGCAAGTATCAAAGGTAATGAAGGAACTCTGCAAACAAAAAAATTGCTCCATCTAGTATCTACAAAGGCCAGAAATACAGTCCTATTAGAGTTTCCTGCATTTTGCATACTTTGTTTTGTTTTTTTATGAGAAGATTCTTTCATTAAGAAAAATGAAAAGAAATACAAGTGCATATTTAAAATAAAATAAAATAAAAAAGAAAAGAAAAATCAGCCGCTCAAAAGGAGTCCCGTCGTCCCGATTAACAAATGACCATTTTGCTTACTTTGTAAAGAGTAATAAAATTACCAGGCCTCTGGTGGTAAAGGAAAGAAAAGACGGCAGTGAACCAGATCAGTAAAAGAGAAAGGCAGTCATGTAACTGTCTTGGTTAGTTAGAGTGGGGAAGTTGGGGCAATTACTAAACATATAGAAAGGGAACAAGAGGAGCATAGAAAGAGGAAAAGTTAATAAAACCATCCCCCCATCAACCAAATCTCCTATCTTCTAATTGATAATTAGTCATTAATCCACTAGTAGTAGTATAGGAACTATAGGCCCCGATATCAGAGCCCTCCATTTTTGGGATCCCGAGAGGAAAGAACATAGCAGAATAGCACAGTGGATTGATTTGATAGAAGGGAGATCAAATTTGAATTTCGTAATAGCATAAATGTCATGTGATCTAGACTCTTAAGAATTGGTTTGTAAAGCTTCCTATGATAGAATAAACATTGGAGCATAGCATCGCTAGAGAAGGTGGTTTGTTAAAGATGAGAATTTGAAATGGGAGAAGATGGTGTTTCGAGCAGATGAATACTTTACAATCAAATGAATTCCAGATGCTGAGGAGTTGAAGACATCAGTAGCAAGCTTTGACGGAAAGGCTCTCACCCGTTTCAGTGTACTGATGACAGAACCTTGGGTGCAAAGTTATTAGCATAACACCAAATAGTGTTCGAAAGTGTTGATAACAGTTAGGAATCTGTGGCAGCATCAATGGAAACTTAGGAGCAGGTACTGGAAGAAAGTTCATCAATGGTTTAAACCACAGTTCAAACCAGAGTATAGTCATAAAATTAATTGGGAGTTAAGAAGAACCATAGAAACAGCACAGGGTATATCATTACTTCTGCTCAGGTAGGGTCTTGGGCCCAGGACGAGTCGATGACCTACTACAAAAAAAAATTTCTTTGTTGAGAACCTACTCCAAAATTTTAGAAACTCTAAAACTTTGATGTCGATGAAAAGGGATGTCTTTGACGGCATTTTAAGTTACTTCATTCTGTTGTCATCAGAGAGTATTTTGAATATGGAAGAGAAAATAAAACTCCGACTGTTTGTTTTCAATTTTACTTCCATGCTAGAGAGAAAATAAGCAATGATTGTCAAACAAATATAGAAACGCTTTTCTTACGGAAGACTGAAGAACTAAAACACTGTATCTAGAAACCCCAAGAGCCTTGATAAACAAAGAGTCCATCGTTTTCTGCTCGATCAATGACAAAAAAAGAAGAAAAATGAAAAAGAAAACAAGTAAAAATAAATAAACAAATAACACCCTGTGCTCCTCATCAATGAGGAATACTTAGGTATAGGAATCCATTTCTTCCAGATCTCAACTGATAATGACCAGCTGAAAATGAAAGCTAATCCCATAATCACTATAATAAAGATATATGTTCACGACAGTGAATTGAGAAAATCAGAAAATAGAAATCACGTATACGCCACCGGAACTCATCCAACACCAGAAGCAAGAATTATGAACGCGGAAAAGCCAACAACAAGATCGATGATAAACTTTCAGAAGATAGATGCAAATTACAAATCGAAGAAAGTCAAAAGATTCACGATATAAATCTTCGAATACCAGAAGTGACAGTAGAGATCGAGGAATTAGAGAAAGAAAAAAAAAACCTGAATGAGCCACAGAGCAGTTGTGGCAGCGGCGACACCCCAGCCGGCGGCGGCTTTGATGTCGGTAGGTTGGAGACGGCGTGTTGGGCTCAAGAACTTGAACAAAGTCGATTCGCCTGCCATTCTTCTTCTCTCAATTCCTTTGCCTCTAAACAAATTCCAATGGCAAACCTAATACAATTACAGAGACCAGGAAGTTTTTATAAGATGGATCCGGTTCCATCCATCATGTGAACCGGGAATCATTTGTCAGCCGTCTGATTCTTCTGATGACGTGGATATCACCTTTTCCAAATCGCAACGCTCCACGTGTTTTCAGGATCGAATTAGACACTTTTTCTCAATGGCCAATACTACTCTTTTTTTGTTTCCCATGTGCGGAATGTAAACTTGTCATTTACATTTTTAAATTGTTATTTTGTTTCTTAAAATGAAAATACAATTAGCATCATTTGAAACCTTTTCCCTTTAAAATAAGTTAATCATTTATTAAAAAATTATTTTAAATATTATGGCAAACAAATATTATTTATTAAAAAATTAGAGGATCGAATCTGGATCTTGCATGTTATTGAACTAAAAAAATGATTGGACTTCATAATGGTCACCTACCTTAGGAATTAGTAACTATGTGTTTCCCGACACCAGATGTTGTAGAGTCAGACAGTTACCTCGTTAAATTAATCGAGGTGCACGTAAGTTGGCCGATATTAAAAAAAATTATTGGACAACATAACTTTGTATTTCAATCATTGATCAATTATAGTTAATTGTTGATTTTATTGGTAGTTCTAATCTAATCCATTCGAAATTCATGATGAAATGTCAAAGTAAAGGTAAACCGGTCCAGTGAAATCTTAATATATATGTTTTTTTAGTTCAACAAAAAAATGTAAGGTATGGATTTAAACTTTTGATCTTTTGATTTATGATATATGTTTAAAAGCTGTTGAGCTACGCTCAGATGAACAAATAAATATGTATTTTAAAATAGCATTACATCTAACTTGAAGAATGTCGTACAATAATCATGTGATCAACCTAGAAGAGTTATAGTGTGCATGTCAATCAAACTAACATTAAGTTTATCACATGTAAAACAATGTTAGTAAGACGGTGATTGACTTTAGATTATTAATGGAAAATTGAGCATAGCTTAGCATTAATGAATCTTGTTCGTTCTCTGAAGATTAGAGTTTGAATCATCCATTTCTATCTTTATTGTCTTGAAAAAAACTTTAAATCACTGAACTTAATATTAATACATTTACTTATTCTCAATAGATTAGAAATTTAATCCCCATTTTTATATTTATTGTTGAAGAGACTTTAAATTAGAAATATTACATATAAAAGCCTTTTTAAAGTAATAATGACTAACGTTTTTATTTTAGAATATTAGTTATCAAAACAATAAAATATGAAATATATATATTTGAAAAGAACAATAAATATGAAAATAACTAGCTCTAGTGCTGGACGGTTTTGCTCGTATGCGGACGGAGGGTTGGCGAATCACAAACCGAGGCCGAGTGCCTGATCTCGGCCCAATTATCGTCCAGCGGCCCAATACGTTAAACATGCGGCGGATCTGAACCCATATTCTCTTGGGCCCACAATCTCGACATACAAATATTAGGATTTTGGCCAAATTTCGAGAAGTATAAAACAACATATCATATGGACGTTATAGCCGGTTTCATATTCTAGAGTGTTTTTGTCAATATAACGAAAATATAGAGGGTGGTAACTTAAATTTTTTATCCCAAAATAAAAGAGTAAATGTCTTTACAACGAGCATAGATAAGGTGATAATTGGCATATATCTCAAACAAAGAGATTGTAAGTTCGATCTTCATCCTCACACGTTGTACTAAAAAAAGATAAAGATGTCTTTACAACTAAGTTGTATTCATGCTTCTCTTTAATCCTTCCCATAACTGTCACTATTAGGGTTAATTGATATAGTAAATTGTTGGTTTTAAGGCTATTTAAAACCTAAATTATTTCAATTTAATTAATCTTAGGTTAAATTTGAGTAACGTTAAAATGTAAGTGGGAAGATGAGACTTATCTATTCACAATTATTGGTTTAGGATTGCATGGTTGAACATCCAGGTAAAGTTGACTAGTTTTGATTGTGGAGTGTTCAAAACCTTGAGTAAAAAATTAATTTTCCTTAGCTCATAGTCTTTGATCATCAAAGTCATCTATTAATTTAACCCTTTGGTTGAGTTGATTCTAAATTGATTTGGAGTTTTTGGAATTAATTAACCATTAGTGATAAGTAGAAGAGTTATTATCTGCCATCGCTTAAATCATCTAGGGTTTCACTTCAATTACTCACGAAAAGTACATTTCACTATTTTTATATATTTCTCAATATTATTTCGTAAAAGTAACTTAAGTGAATATAAATTGATTTAAGATTCGTCTAACGTTTATATTATTTCATCCTAAATTATCCTCCACTCAACCAAAAAAAAAAGAAAGTTAATAACTATCTTTGTAATATGACCATTGTAAGTCCAATGGCTATTGAGGCAATTAAAAGAATGCCAAAATAAACTTTTGAAACAAACTATTGGTAAAATAGGTGAGAATAATAAACAAAAGTAAAAGTAACCGTGAAGATGGGCTGTCATGTTGCTGTCTGGATTTATCATTTATGCTACTGCCTCCAATGAGAAGAAAATTGTAACTAACATGGACGAAATAAACGTGTGATCTCGTATGATATTTGAAATAAGTATTTATTTGTTTGTGAAGTTTTTAAATGACACATTTCCAAAGTTTGTAAAATTATTTTAAATCATCTCTAAAATACTTCATATTTAAGAGTCTATTTGATAATATTTTCATTTTCTGTTTTTGGTTTATGATTTTATTAAGAGATCAAAATCGTTTGACAACTATTTATGAATCTTGGATCTCATTTTTTAAAAATATTCTCAAAATTATATATAAATTTTAGAAACAAGTTTTTTATTTATTGTTACCGTAATCCGTTTCCAATTTGTTCTAACATGTTGGAGGTGATTCACACCATACACGTGGCACGCATTGGTTGAGTGATGAGAATTACATGTAACTTTCATTGATAAGCTTTAGGTTTCATCACCTCGGTTTTATTTCCTAGAACCGAGTCGTCGCTTTGTGTGGCCGAACCGATCAAGCTTCCTGGAAATATGTTCTCATTTATTGGTTGAACTAATCAGCTTCGTCTCGACTCAGCTACAGTTTCCGACAAACTTCATGACAATATGCTGTGATTCGTTGCCACCTTAAAGAGTTGTTAAAGTCTTGTGGGAAATATTGTCAGAGAAGTCGTCTATAAATAGAGCTCATTCACTCTATTTTGAGATATTCTCTCTCCAATTTAATTATATCAGCTACTAACTCTAACTTTAGTATCGGTGTGTGTTCTGGCTTGCATGTGCTATCACCCGTTGAGTCATTCTCAGTCCGAGTCTCGCAGTATCGGTGGAAGTCATGCAATCATATTTTTCTATAATCATTCTCTCTCCTCGTTTCTCTCTTTCTCCGGCAAATCTCTCCGCCGCCCGCCGTCCCTCCACCGGGGTAGACGATCAGACAAATGTA